GTCGTTCGGTATTCAGCACCTACGAAGTTCGCCGTACCACCCGCAGGCCAATGGTATGGTCGAACGACTTCACCGTCCATTAAAGGCTGCCCTCACTGCGCACGGTTCTCCGCAATGGACACTACGATTGCCCATCGTCCTTCTTGCGTTCCGGAACTTGGTCAAACCTGAGCTCGGTTGCTCGCCCTCGGAACTCGTGTACGGCACAACGCTGCGATTACCTGGTGAGTTTTTTCACATCTCTACTCCCACGGTAAAGGAACCCCCCGAATTTCTCAGGTCTCTCCGTTCTCAAATGCAGTCCCTACAACCGACGCCTGGCACGAACCACGGATCGCAAACTGTGTACATTCCCAGTCAGCTGTCGTCTTCCAGCCATGTGTTCGTGCGCGTCGATGCCAAACGCCCCCCGCTCCAGCCTCGTTATGACGGACCCTACGCTGTGCTAAACCGTCGCGAGAAGACCTTCCAAATTCAAATGCATTCGAGGCAGCCGTGGATCTCAGTGGACCGGCTGAAACCTGCTTTCATCCTCAACGACAACCCACCCGCGGACCACACCTACGCAGCCAGTGAAGTGGTTCAACCTGCATCGAACAAAAAACGCGTCCGTTTTTGTTTCGCGGGGGGGAGTAATGTGGCGACGGTTGTCCCACATACTGTCATCTGTTCAACAGCGGTCGTAGCAGCAGTCGTACCAGCGGTCGTCACCACACTCACTGTCTCAGTCTCTCACGGTGCCCGTCTACCGTTACGTTCACGCCGTTCCGCGCTCGCTATTGTCCGCGATTATAATAAAGAATTTCTTTTGTGTCATTTATTTTAACTATACTTGCTTATACTTGTCATAGTAATGCAACGCATTTATACATGTTACTGTAACCAAATAAAATTAAACAATTATTTAAAATACGTCGGCATTCTGAGTTCTTTCGCCTAACCTCAAATACCATTGCCGCAGGGATAGTGCTTAGATTGCCGCAACTGTATAGATTGTAGATGTATATTTAAAAAAAAAAAAAAAAAAAAAAAAAAATATCGATATTATGTTTTTATTTCGAAAGTAGGTAGTACTAATAACTATAGTAGTTAATGACTCAATTATTTATTTGTAATTAATGCTTATAAACATTATTTTGTTTTATTCTTTATTTAAAAATGGTTATTTATTGTTATTTTATGTTGCAATGCCCAAATAAATTATAAAATGATGAGACCGTTTTTTTTTTTTAAATTGGTTAAATTATATTTATGCTTGTATCGGGTTACGTCGTGTATAGATGCTCCCTCTTATGGGTACTTAGTTATATCGAATTTACAGCAAACAGTAATTATAATTACTGTTTTAAATTTGTAACGAGACAGTTTTACCTACCATAAAAAATTCACTAAATAGCTCTCACGTGTAGTTTAACAGTGAATAAACCATGAAATTGATACCGTCGATTGTCGCCTCGAACTAACACCGACTCGCCGACAGCCGACCGAACCATAGATATATTAAAGAATGGATAGGCCATTTGTACTTATCGTAACATAATTTATATTATAATTTAATGAGTAAATATACTTTTCCTAAGGTTCAGTGCGTTTGATTAAAAATTTAAAAATTCAAATAGTCCTAAAATCTTAAGATAAAACAAGACAAATATTTTTTTTTAAATATCATCGCCTCAATGTTGGTTCTGGTATACCAAATTTATGGCAGATTTATTACATGAGGGTTTTTAATCGATGTTTTAGTAATTTATAGCTAATCTAATTATTGTTTTGTCCCACAGTGGTACTGTTTTTCGCTTATAATTGTAGTAAGGAGAAAATACGCGGGGGACAAATTAGTTTTATAGGGGAGAATAGGTGGTAGGGGAAGGTAATGGTTATAGGGGAGAGATATGTGTGTTATAATAAATATTGGAGATTTCCGCGTATGATCTCCCTACTACTGTGTTGTACCTAACTGCCTAATGATATTTGAATTACCTACTTTTGTTATATAAATATTCAAACACTTACCTCACTGGAGCTGGTTTTCTTCTGAGTGTTTGTAGTCCTTCGGGGTCGTGTTCAATAGTCGGTATCACGATGACAATACATGTATATTCTTTTATGTGATATTCGTAACAGGAGTACGTATAGTCCAACCGCCGACCGAATGTAATTTAAGTTAATTGAGCACTTACTTCTATTCTTTTATTCTAATAAAGCTCTTAGAATCCCTACATTCGTGACAACTAGTACGTATAGTCCAATCGCCGACCGAATGTAATTTAAGTTAAGAGAGCACTTACTTCTATACTCGTGTTCTAAGACATAAATGTGCAGTAGTGATGCAACAGGCCTATAATATGATAATAGTCACAGAACCTTACGTTTTGAAAGACCAATGGATAGGTGAGTGTAAAAAGATGAACAAATTCAATTTAACTGTGAAAGAGACAACTAATTTAGACAGACATACCGGGTGAAGGAATGATTCAATATACATATATTGTATACGCATAAACGCACAGTGATGGCTTGGACAGTAGTGGAAAAAGATCGTGATGTTGACTGGCGTGGACGTTGTGCATGAGTCTTCTCCTGAAAGATACTGTGTATGAGTCGATTGTCTGTGGCCCTTATAAACTATGATTTTGCTTGATCCCTTCTTCGTGTGCATGGATTAAAGTATTGATATATTTTTATTATTTCGTGTGGTGCTACAACGGTACAGCTGGTAATTTATAGTTTTGTTTTGACCGAACGTCTTGATTGGAGAATTATCGAAGGGTTCTTGAAGTATATAATATATATATGTGTGTACGTACACGTGTGATGTACGTATAGGTATATAAAAGAGTGTGTTCATGATTTTATGATATACGGTGTTTACTGGCGCCGTTGGTATTTGATTGTATTGTCTCCACTAACTGAACGTCTGGCCGAAGAGGTGTAGGATATTATTTATGTGTTGAATATGCTGCGTGTATGTAAGAGGAGTGCGTATAATATATATATGTACCTAATGCGTACGTATACATGCATATCGGACCACCCACACTCCATAATATGGTCCGTTTTCATTATTTGTCTCGTGTTTTATTTTAAGTCTAAATATTATATATTACATAATTTCTTGGCATTGTATCTATGACCTTAGGCGCAATTTTGGGGGTGCTTCGTCAACTTGACCCGATAGATAATATTTTTGTTCTTTTAACTTGATTAATAGACATTAAGTATACATGAAAATAAAGCTTATACTATACTTTGTTGATTTTAAATAATATATAATAGATTTCATTTAAATTTTTTTAAAAAATTTCAAAATTAAAGAAAATTAAAGTGTGTATGGTGATAACAGAAAATTGTAAATAAAACACATGGGCTTTATCAGGATTATTTATTACAAGCTGCTCGTTTCCAGTCCATTATATCTTAATTCTTAGTCCGTGGTTGTTCCAAACATCATTCCTTACATTTCTTGTAAAATATCTGATGTTGATATAATCTACTATCAGTTATTATCAATTCGTCAACTTACCCAGCTCATCAACTTACCCTGGTCTCCCCTAAGTGTATTATTTTTTCACTGGTTCCCCAAGAGAAAAAAATTCTGAGGGGCCTTGTTAAGTATGCTTGACTATGGTCTTGGGCTCCGAGATTTTCCCTTTCAACTACTATTTCTAGTTTTTTCCTCAACACTCATTTGGCGACGCCCTTTGATTGATAAATCGGTAAATCGTCAACAATTTAAATTCAATTAAATTAATCAACGAGTGCTTACTTATTGGGGCTGTATGAAGAAAGTGGCTCTTAGACCAAAACGCTAGACAAAACTGAATGGATTTGGTCTGATGGATTTTAGGTCTGAAAACGGATTACCATAATATTGATCAACAAGATTATTAGGTTTGAATAGAGGTGATTTTTAATATACCGAATGTCGTTAGTGTAACGATGAATAAATATAAATTAAAAATAACATGTTAATTGTATTCATCGATATCACAGCTGAAAAAATAGATAGGTACTTTATTCAAAATCGCCTCTGTAAAATTAATAAAAACAACTTTTTTTAAATCAAAATCTCTCTTGCAACACTCAAAATCTTATATAGGTAATAAAAGTATAAAACGCTAATAAATAAGAAGTAGTAATGCTAGTAGTAGAGGATGATTTTATTAATTTTTGTCATAACTATTTTGACCATTTTTATTATGGCAATCTTGAAACGTTGAACATTTTCACTACAGGTATAGGTACTTGATAATATTAAATTGAATAACTCCTGCTATAGACGGAAGCTATAATTATACAGGAAATAAAAAACTGAAAACCAACATCTCTATAAATCAACACACAATTTAATGACTGGTTTTAGTAGTGTTACATAATTTCTCACTATACCTATACTCATTAAGAGTATAATAATAATAACACTTTATATAGTTTGTACGAGAAAATCAATTATTTAATTTATCATTATTTACCTATATCATATTTCTTGTTAGCTATTTATTAATACACAAAATTGTACTTTTCGAAATATATTATGATACCTATACCTGTATTTTAATTATTTAAGAAAATTGCAAATTATGTTATGATATTTTAAGTAAAGATAAAATTAGTTAATTTTATTTTGAATAATTAAACATTAAATGCATAGGTACGAAGAAATATTTCACAACACCTAACGTCGCTCTTGCACAGTGAATGTTTACAACGATGAGGTACCTACCTATTAAATAGACTTAAAAAAATAACAACACAATATCTAAATATATAAAAACATTATATTTTATTATATTACAAAATATCTTATAACAGTATATTTTTGATATAAAATGTATAACATTTTGAAGGTAGGTAAGGGGATATCTATCACACATTTATGTACATAATATTTTCAAAAGTGCACACTAAAATGCATTATACATGTATATAACTTATGTACATTAATATTAACCAATCATAATAATATTATAATACTTGAGCTGTGTGCATAAACTATTTCATTAGTTTAGAAGCTCTTGGTCTTCACATTTGTCGATGAACACAGCTGAAGTCCTAGAGGCAATATCAGCATACTCTCTTGGACCCTGGCTGCACAACTTAGTATCCACTTGGATACCTCGTTTACTAAAGATAAAACAATAATTATACAATTATAAATAATTGAATAGCAGTCATGGATTCCATTATTATTTTAGGTGCCTATTTTAATATTATATGACATAGGTATGTAAGAGCTTTAATTGTTTTACATTAAGTAAAGGTAAGTAGGTACCACTAAATACTGATATATTTTATCATTCATAACCAAAATATTTGTACTTAATTCAAGTTTTTATTATAATATAATAAAAACTTGAATTGTAATTTATTACAATAGGTACATTTATTACATTTATTGTTATTTATTGTAATTTTTTATGTAATTCCCTATTCGTAATGTTTTAAATTTTAGTATTTATATATTATAGCTTGTACTCTAAATCATGCCTGACTGTGGTTGTGAAATCTAATTTTTTGTAAATGATTACTGTATATAAAGGTTTTGGTTACACAACTAAAATCTAAATATATTATTAATTTTATATTTTATTTGTGCACTTAAACTGCACACAAAATTTTAATTACTTGTAAACATGAAACACCTAGATAATTTTTCAACGATTAGCTTTATCTAGAAAAAAATTTAATCTCAATGACCGTTTATTTGTTGAGAAAATTATTATTAAGGCTGTGGACTTCTAGGAGTTGGGATGTTTTTTAATAATCATTAAAAACATAGCTAAGTAATATAGAAGTTTGTTTCACAGAAATACGAGTTTATACTTTACATTTTTGTTGCATATTTTGCATATTTGACCATGTTTCATTTATAAGTGCATATTTGTAATTTTTATAATTTTACAAAAAAATTACATTTTAAATAGATTTCTTGGATCCGAGATATTATAGTATGCTGGTTTTATTTATATATATTATTATTAGTGTTAGTAACTTAGGGTTATATACTTATATTAATTAGTGTTTGTATGCCCGATCACTCGCATTGTTACTTATCGGTACACCAAACGCTTAAAGATAAGAAGAAAACAAATCAGAAAAGAAAATTAATATTATTTGTTAAAACGCAAGTTATTTAAATTATTATAAATTGTAATTTATAATTTTGCAAATATTATCTAGATATTAAAATAAAAAGGTGTTATCCTAAACTACGATTTTTTTTTTTAAATGCATATATATTTATTGATTCTCTAGGTCATACATGCATGCATAATGCATATTTTAAGGTTTTTTAGGGCATGAAGTTCGTAGCTCTAATTATTATAATCTCGAACGAGTGTTACTTGCAGGTTTATTCAATAGATCGCGACACGTATAAGTACATTGTTCAAAATATAGTCTTAGTACCTATTGGAGTTAAAATAAATATTAACACCTATCAATAAAAGACTGTCACTTACACAAAAACTATAGTATATTATTTAAAGTAATTGAAATAATATTTTATTTAGTATGGGATTGTATTGTTTAAAATACATTAAATCGTATTTATTAATTCAGTAGTAGACGGTACATATTATTATCTATACCCACACAATAAAAGATTATAAATTATAGTATAATATTTTATTAATAACTATTTGTGCGGACACCAGTGCAAATCTCCGTGTTGATTTAATTTTAGTGTAAATATCTTTAAAATTAAATTTAAAAAAAAAAAAATTGTTTTCATGGAATTATTGTTACCTGCCAACTTGATTGACAGTGATGTCGGACATGTCGTTATAAACACAAAAATGTACTTATAAGTTATAAGTTAATATCATGAATATTATCAAAATATGACGGGCATACCCTCTGTTTCCGTCGTCTTCGGCTTCTGTGACACCGATACTAGACACGTACAGATGGTCGTTGCACCAGAAGAAACATATGGACCTGGGTTGTAGCACGTCCATGTTATACTCCCAGTAAAACTCTACTCGTTTCACTTGTCCTATGTCGTCCGGATGGGTGACCACAAAGCTCCGGCTCGTCCCGTGCTCCATACGCTCATAACCACTATGGCGTCGAGAAATGCATTCATTAATAAAATAATATTATGCGAATAACGCTATGTGTGTTATATTGTTGTAATAATACTATAATGGTCGTCTTACTTAGGAGTTAAATCTAGGTTTCTGATAACACCGTTGTCACTATGTAACGACACTTTCATAAAACCTTGAACCCAGGACTCAGCCCTAGGTGGCTTGGCCAAATCCAACATGACCTTGTATTGTCGTCCTAAAAAAATATCATATCAATATCTTAAATTTAGCGTACATAATAATTAATTATTGATAATAAAACTTAATATTCATAATAAATTGGCGTATTTTATAATGGTTAATATTATATAAGAGCCGTAAACAATAAAAAATGTATCGATAGGAGGCTATACTCTGATAATGATGGTTTTCAAATATGTAATCGTATAAATTGTAACAAAAATGTATTATTTTAGGTAAGGAAAACATTTTTATTAATCAATCGTTTTAACTGACTATTACAAATTTAGAAATAACTAAATAATTTAATATTATTCAAGTAAACATTAATTTATAATAATTAATAACTATCAATTAATTTTTTAGGCTCTAACTATAAAACTTTTATATTTAGTGGGTATACGCATGATTGTATCTTAACGATACATGTTATTTTAGAATAGTATAACATATTAACATAATACCGATCAGCAGGAAGGTACCGAAGATAGTTTTAGGGGGGTCAAAGTTGTTGGTTCGACCAAATCGAAAAACTGATCCAGGACAACATGTTTTTGTTATCTCGTTGGAGCCATTTAATTAAGTACGATGCGACAGCCCGGTCATTTCGAAATGTTTTAAAATGTTGGCCCCAATATTTGGTAAGAATTTGCCTGGATAATATTAAAATTTGCATGGTATTGGTTTAACACCTAATGCCAAAATTTGAAGGGCCGGGCTGTCACAGCGTACGTCGTTTCAACATTAAGTTGTATAATATGCAGTAATATTATCATCTTAATTAATTATAGTTATGGAAATTTCATATAAATTTCAAGTTCGATAAAAATCAAATATTCTCTTTGTGGGTATACTTACTACAATATGGCGTATCTTTCCCAGTAGTTATGAAATACTTGGAACCCGGTGCATGGTTTGGTCTTACTGTATTTAAGCAAATTATGGCACATCCTGTATCATTCTCCTTGCACAAGAAACATTTACCCTTAAACATAATATAAATTAAATTCTAGTAGTAACACGAATACACGTCATGATGAATTGTTAATTCGATGCAGACTTAAGTTGGTTGTATTCATAATTTATTATTTCTCATAGGTAGTTAAAACACATTTTTCTTAGTTCTCCAACCGATAAATAATTGTATAGATTATTGTGCAATAACAATAGAGCGAGGATATTTTAACGTAATATGTACTTATTATAATAATATGTAAACATTACAGGGGAATTCCAAATAATATTGAGTACATTTCGTAATTTAAAATATTATGCACAAGATCTATAAGAAATATGCAAATACCGAATTACACTTCAGATCATGACGTAACAAAACATTTTTTTATATTTATCTTATAAGACTTCCAGACTTTGTTTATTGTGCACTTATTTATGTATAATTTAATAAACACTCAAATTTGTGTTTGTAAAAATTAAATACCTAAGAATTTTCCTTCTAAAATTTATATATTAAGTACACAATTTTTTTTAATTACCTGTAAGAAGTTTTGATACGAGTTGCATTTGTGTGCGACGTATGAACATTTTGAGTTTATAGACTCGATGAACAGTTTTATGGCTCTTACGTGATTACAAGCAACTAAAACATGACTTGCTTCTTCAATTCCCTCTTTGATGCAGGGCTTGAAACCGAAAAAAATTTTTCCGGTTTCGGTTTCGGTTTCGGATACCGGTTTTGATTTTTTCCTATTTCGGTTTCGGTTTCGGATACCGGTATCAATTTTTTCCGATTTCAGTTTCGGTTTCGGAAACCAGTATTGACTTTTTTCGATTTCGGTTTCGTTTTCGGATACCGGTATCGATTTTTTCCGATTTCTGTTTCGGTTTCGGATACCGGTATTGATTTTTTCCGATTTCGGTTTCGGTTTCGGATACCGGTATTCATTTTTTCCGTTTCGATTTCGGTTTTTAACGGTTTTAACCGGTATTCAAAATCTGTATCCAATATCGGTTTTAATCCCTGTAATTATAATAATTTATAATGACATAAAATACTGGCGTAGGAACCTACTCGCCAATCGCCAAACATTGCGTGGCGTACGATTTAGCGTCTGGTTGCCTGACAAGTGACATGTACTATAGTATTTGCAATCAATGATAATATTTACACTGGAATGAATACGTAATTATGACATATTTAGTTATAGCCTCTCCACTTCATAACACATTTTCCAAATGATTTGCTACCTAATTTTTTAAGAGTTTGTGTAACTTCATCGTTTATAAGTTGAAACTATTTCCTCAATGAGGGGCTAACTTCATGCGTGTCCCACCCACCACATTAATCAAATTGATTGAAATATGTTGTTTTACTTTTGATTTGTAACTATTTGTAATTATTTGAAACATATATTCAACAGTATTTTACATTTAATTAAAAATTGTTTGAATTTTGTTTATTAAGTATATTATTAATACTATTATCATAGGTGAAACAAGTAAAAACGGTTCAGGTCAGTCAAGCCATGGCCTGATCTAATACTGCGTGGATAACATACGTTTACTGACTATACATACCCTAAAATATCCAAATTACTAAAAGTACTAAAAAATGTGCTCACAGGATTAGTCGATTGTCTACCCATTTTAATAAGTAGGTACCTGATTAAGTACAAACAATGTACCTAATTTTAAGCTTAGGTAACTGCTTAAGAAGAGCAAAGACTGAAAGACCACGAGAGATGATAGAAAATTACGGACGTTTGAATGGTTACGAAGTAATAACTTATATGATCACAGCTTGATTATATTATACCAATCTAGATTAGGTATATTAATCCAATAGAGCATGGTTGGTGGAGGGTTGGCAGGGAGCACATTTTTCAGTCGACGGCTTTTAGGGAAACCCAGACAAATATGTTAAGGCCTTATAATGTATTATGATAAATTATAAATAATATAAATTATTTATAAACTATACTATAATTATTTATTGTTGGCTATTGTGTTAATTTAATGTAGGAAAATTATGCCACATAGTTATTTCTGTCTTCTGGTCGTCTGTGGCGGCAGAAAAACACGACAGCTTATAATATAGTAAATAATAATAGTATTATTGTTATACAATTTGTATTATAGCGTATTTCTGCGTATACTATTTTAGAATACGATTATATGATTAATCCATTTACCAAAATAATATATAATATTTAAATATAAAAATTATTATATTGCGTATAATAATAATATATTATACGTCTAATAACTTATATACCCCGTGAAATTACCTATGCAAACATACGGGTGCCCGCAGACGAAGACTACTGCACCAGTGCAGCTACCCTACTTACATAATAATATATTATTATATTATAAAATATTAATTATAATAATATAATATATTAGGCACCATTAATCATTATTAATATCAATTGTATTACTGCAGAACTCAGAAAGTATACATAATAATATAAATATCTATATAGGTAGGTACTTTCGAGTTAATATTTTAGAATCCAGTGACATGGTAGTGTCGCGAACTAAGTAAAAAAAAAGAAGTCATAGCACATGACCTAGGCTACAGGTCTAATAAATGGACCAAATTAATAATTTTTAATAATATTAGTATAAACGCGCCATGGAAACGGCAATATAAATATTATAAACTATTAAAATAAATAATAATATATAATATTTATATGATAATTTATAAAAACTAATAATATACCAACAAAAATACTATGTCAACTCCATGTAAAAAAAAATGTCATTTAATTTAATTCTTCATTTTGCGCACGGAGTAAACAATTACCCCAGACGTATTAATACAGTATATTAATAATTTAATATGACAATTTATAAAAGACTAATGAACTTTAACTTAGCAGTTATTTTTTATTTAAGGATAACTTAACTTTAACTAGTTAAAAAAATTGGTTAACTTGCCCAGCTTTGCCATCATCCACATGATGTTATAATAAATAATTATATCTTATAAGTTATAATATAATATTTAATATTGATCGCTTGTATGATAGACGGATAGAACAGATTTACATAATATACACGATATTTATTATTTTCTACCATATGCAGTATAAATTATATTATTCATAGCTTTTAAATTCAATTATAGCCTATAGGTTTATTTTAAATGCGTAGAGCTTTTTAAATGTTAGATATAAATGTTATAATTTTTGACTTCCGTTTCGGATATCATGTTATTTCTTAAGATTTCGTCTTAAGTTTCAAAAAACGGTATTATTTTTTCCGATTTCGATTTCGGTTTCAGATATCGGTATTTATGTTTTCCGATTTCGGTTTCGGTTTCGGATACCGGTATTGACTTTTTTCGATTTCGGTTTCGGTTTCGGAAACCGGTATTGATTTTTTCCGTTTCCGGTTTCGGTTTCAGATACCGGTATCGATTTTTTCCGATTTCGGTTTCGGTTTTTGATAAAGGTATTAATTTTTTCCGATTTCGGTTTCGGTTTCGATTTCGGTTTCGATTTTTAACGGTTTAAACCGGTATTCAAAATCGGTATCGAAAATCGGTTTCAAGCCCTGCTTTGATGAGAGTGAGAGGTAATGTAGTTTCCGTTAGATCACAGCCAGGCTGTTCCTTACCGTTGTTTGGGTAAAAGTCAATGTGGCCACAAGGTTCGCTCATCCCGTACCCTAAATAAATATATATATGAAAGTTAAACGTTTACTATTAAGAGTGTTTTACTCAAGTTTAAGGGGAAATTTGAGTATCTATTGTCATCGGTTGTTGAATTTAACTATTGAAATCTATATTTATAACTGACTGTTTTTTAAAAGGTCTGTACCTATATAATAAATTAACCTAGGTCAATATATCTGCTTTACAAAAAAAAAAAAATAATAATAAATAATAACGGTTATACGATTATTTGGGTATGATTGTTTGAAATGTTCATAATATATGTAGGTATATTATTATTTCTCGAAAAACTATTCCATATTTGCCTATATATATATACGTGCTGGCCATTGAATTTTCTGGACTCCGGGTACCCATCCAGTTATCTTAAAAATACAATTTAAATTAAATGTAATACTTATTTGTATAAATTGTATCCATAACATATTGGGTTAATGTAAATAAATACCTATATGAATATAAATGAGAAGAAAATTGTGTAACTTTAAATATTATATGTATAATATTAAAATTTTTATAAGTAGCAATCAAACAAAATATGATGATAATCATACCTCCTGCCGGCAGTTATGGGCCGGAGCACCATCTTGTAAGCTTATGTAAGAATAGGATCTCTAGGTGGGGCTATTCGTTTGAAAACCGAAATTTTTTTTTCTCACTGAAGGTATACCTTGATCCTTAATTAACTTACTGTTACCTATTTTTTCAGTTAAATTGGTTATAATAACCAAAATATTGTTTGTATTTGAAAATGTATACCTATTTTTTAAATTGTCAAATAAAAATCAATTACAAAAAAATATAGTATAATAAAAGTCAATAGGTATGGTACAGTTTTAAAGTTTACAATACAGTATACACACATATAAATACTAAACAAATAAACACCAATATCTTATAAAAATAAATTATTGAGTTTGATGTCTTATAATACTGTCCAGTACAAAATTTGAAGACAATCATTATTAAATTGATTTTGTGGTTTAAACGAATATGTACGAATATGTACAAATATACTTAATAGCTTTAAAACATAGTAAGCGACTAATAAAAAATTACATAGTAAATGATACAATTTTTTTTAATCACACAATATAATACAGGTATATGCTGACATTAATTTCAGATGGTTTATGATAAATTGACTAGGCTCCTGGCTCATTACCCATTTGTAAAATCTCTTCAGAGGCGCATACAATTAGCTACCTAAGAAATTGTTTTATATACCTTATTATTTATTTAAATTAAAGCATATTCAACACACCCCTATGATACAACTGACAAATGTTTAAAAATGTAACTAATTCTATATAAAATGGGTTGATTAGAGCCATATTTAAAATGTTATTTTCACAATTTAACAATTTTTTATTGAATATATTTTTTCAATACAATATTAATTTAAAATTTTACTTTAACTTGTAGGTCTTGTTTTTATGATTTACCTTCTAATAGGTGATTTTTTTTTTTTTTCAATTACCATTCAAAACTATTTCACGTTAGTTTTGAATTAATTGTAGCAAGTTAATAATCATAATTTTAAATATATATTATATATGGTGCCTAACCTATAAGTACACATCTAGCACATTGTAATTTTAAATGCATACTTATTGTACAACTTTTTTTCAATTACCTATATTTTTTAATTAAAAACATCTTAATTCAAAATTGGAAATTCCACATATTACCCCATTTTATATTTATAATATTGTGAACTACTTAAATAATTTAAAATAATTTAATAGTGAAAGACTATGAATAGTTGAATATTTCAAATTTAAATTTATATAATATTATGTTTTTTTTAACAATACAATAATTATGAATATTGTTACAAACAATAAGGTAATATGTAAAAAACAACTTAGCTATTTCAATATGTCGTGACTGAAATCACCCCATTTTATATTTCTATTATTATGAACCACTATAAAAGGCATTTGTATAGCAGGTGATCTACCAATTTACTAGAAGTGATCTACTACAAGATTTAGGTACCTATAATAATATGTACATTGTACATACCTATTGGCTATTAGGTTTAAAATATATTTCACCATTAATTATTAAGTTATTTTTTTATTTAGGATTATCAAATCAAATAAGAATTCATTCAAAAATACACAGTTTACCTCCATTGGTTAGTGCTACTATATGAAAATTATATTTCTATTATTATCAAAATCAGGCGTACCTACATTATCATAATAGTAATACATTATAGTTTTTGGCTTAAATTGAGAAGTATGTAATAAGTAATAACTATAATAATTAATAGGTAAATAATAAAGGAGTAGAAGCGCACTTGATCGACTTTACAATTACTACTATGAAAGAAATGCACATTTATAAAATTTGATAGAGCACCTGCTAGATAAACATAAATATATCCCAAATTACGACTTAGGTATAATGTAATTTTAAGTTCAATGGAATATTTTTGACAAACTTAATGATTCAACAACTACCTATTTTGTTAGGTATATTATGCTATTAAAGAAATTTAAACTGTCTGTCTACTTATAACGGTTTACAACATAAACTAACTATACATAATATGTATAGTTCAATTAATAATTACATTATACATTTAATATTAAACTATTTAAGTAATAGTGCTATGCTGCATGGCCACATGGTTTAGTATTTTACTTTACAAGTTTTAAAGTTCATTATCAGTATTCAGTTTATTACAACCGATTGATTTTTCTGTACCATTATCATTAATTAATTAATATGCTTAGATCATAGACCTATAAACTAATGGACTACACCTCACTCACCACCCAGCCATCAATGAGTGGCGCCAATATAGAGTGAGTGAGGAAGAACATATTGGGGGAATCTTGGTGGACAATCATATAAGAGAAAGAGAGAAAAAACATAATGGGGGAAATCATAGACGTACGAAACTAATACTGTATATCGTACCACTGACCTCTCTCTCTAAGCGCTGTCCATTAGTTTATAGGTCTATGGCTTAGATCATATACAAACCTATATAACCATATATAACCTTGTATATGATCTAAGTTAATATGATATAATATTTTAATCAATTCTATTATCTTATAAGACCGTGGTCATAGATAATGATAAAGGTATCGCCAAATATCGGTAATAGTAATAAGATTATTATTGTTCTATGGTAATATGGAGGGGATCTGGTGTGACAGCCAATGTCAACAAAACGTAGCATTGGTCAAATTAGCATATAGGTGTAATGTACATTCAATTAATCAGGTTCAAAGTACAACAATTATCAATATGTTTAATGTTAGATACCTTAGGTAGTTAGGTCGAACGGTATCGAATTTATCAGTTATAGCTTCTGGGCTTTACAAATGAAAATTTTCCAGCGGTACCGACTTTCAACCACCAATGCTTTGAGGAGCTGTATCTCGCAAACCAATTAACAAATAATAAAAATGTTAACGCGTAAATTCATAAAAAAAATGGTTTTATTAATTCATGATCTTTTTATTATATGTTACCATTTGAAAATCAAAAGTTGATAGTGGTTTCACCAATAAATATAAGGGTGAAAAAAATTAAAATAGTATAGAGTTTTAGAAAAGCATAAATCTAACAGTTTAAAAAAATAAAAAATAAAAAAAAATAATACTTTTCGAGATAATTAGTGTACCCACTTAAATGGATCACCCTGTATAATAGTATAGGGATATCCAGCGATATACTATATTTGAGTTCAAACTGCCAACTACTGTCAGGTTGACTTCGTAAAAAGAAAACTTGTGTAATATGAGAACCTCTGGTTAAATAATAATATTTTACAGTTTAGGGAGCCAATTCAAATATACATTTTTCAGGAGTTAATTCAAGGGTCAAATTCATATTTACCCAACATTGGGAGCCAATTCAATGGTAGCCGTTAAATGAACTTTTAACTTTTTGTTATTGGTGCATATTAACTTCAATGGGTTAAAAAAAATTATTAACTTGCCAAATTCTTGCATATTTTATAATATAATATTAGTATACGTGATGTAGGTACATATATAAACGGTTAGCTCTAGAAGCTCGTCTAAATATTAAAATATAATAAATAAATATTAATATATATAAATCGATAGGTATGGACCGCGGCGGCGACGGCCATGGGAAAAACGCCGATCAGTCCGGCGAGTGTATAAAGTGTGATGATAATAATAATAATAATATTATGCATAGATCTAACATATTACGAATATTACAATAATAATAATAATAATATAACCGCTCTGGATGTTGAAACGTATTATTGCTGTTCAGATTTATTATCGCACCGACAACGCGAGCCGATCGTATTATTTCGAGACGCGTGGGCGCCACATGTAATAAACGAGAACGCAAAATAATCATAATATTATATACACAGAGGGATATATTATACCTATAAGCAGGTACTATAGATATAAGTAGGTATGGACCGAGTCGATACGAATTCGGGTAAAAAAAAAACAAATAAAACAAATAACGTGTACGAAAACGCATTTCGAATATATTATTATAGGTAGTAATAATTATCGTATTGTGATAACAGTTCAAGTCAATCGACTCTTGGTAAACGCGTTCGGGTTTTTATTCCCCGCATCCAGATGTACCAGCAGATAAACTTCAGGTACATAATATTATAATATCGTATAAGAGAGTGTACGAAAAACAGCGATCATCAGCCGAGGCATAATATCTTGTTATGTGAAAAACGCTCTTGAAATTAAAATACGTCCAGCGATATAAATTATATTTTTTTATGATTTGTTTTTATACTACGATGCAGGAACCCGCACATTGTGCACGACACGTAAATAAATTATTCTCGTTGGACTGATATTATATTATACCTAACGACGACGGAAATCTCGACTGTATTGTAATATTAATAGTGTATAAGCTCATTTATTCAAAAATAATGTTCTGATAAAAAAATATATATATATATTATAATGACATCGTTTTAACACGTAGGTATGATATACAGA